GCATCGTGGTGGAATCAGGTGCTCGTGAGAAATAAACAGAAGAAACTGACATGTTCCCACAGTTTGAAAACTTTTGAAATATTTTGATAATTATTGTTATTTATATCATTATTATTATCGTAATCATTATTGTCATTATTATTTAATTATTTTTTTCGTTATCATCTTTTTTGGGGGAAAGGGGAGAGGGAAGCCCTTTCATGTCCATAGGAAAACATATTTCTGAGTGGATTATAATGAGAAATCTAGATCTAGATCGAAAGCCTAAGAATGTAAATTCTCAGTTTCCAAGGACACTCAAGCTTTGGAAGCCACTCAAACTATGACGGCTCTTTTCTCACTAATTTTACCTCTAACGCAAGGCAATCCACACGCTAATGCCATGTCGCGTATCTCAACAAATGAACAAGTTTTAAGACAATACCAATAACTCTATATTCCCCAAAAGCAAGACAAATGAACAAGCTGTTAAGGCGCTACCAATAATTCTATTTTCCCCCAAAAGCAAGACGAATGAACAAGCTTTATTACGATTGTACCAATAAATCCCTAAAATCACCCAAACGCCGACGAGCGCCAGATTCCACCTCGTCGAGACACACTTAGTTGCTCTAAGAAGAGAATTCATTTTTTAGAGACAGGCTGTGAAAAAGAACAGAGGCATAAAACACAACATTATCACGTAGAGGTAACAGTAACTGGTGGTCTCGGGGTTTTCCTAATGTTGTTTAGTTTTAGTAAGGTTTTACGGCGCTCACAAATGTATAAGGTCATAATATGAGCGCCAAAGGGTGGATGTCAACATAGAGGTTTTTACAGGGAATCAGGCTTACTCTGCTCACCTCTCTAGCTTCAACAGCACAAAGTCTGCTTTGACTATCAAGGCACCCCGGAAATAGCGGTCACAAGTGTGTGACAAACATACAAAAGAAGTAGAGGAAAAATTACGATAGTAAGAATTCGAAAAGAAAAAGCAGCAGTTCCCTGTTGCAATTCAAGCACAATTATGAGAATGACATTGTTTAATCAGCCCATGTAAAATTCTACTGTGCATAAGAGCATGTTCATGTCCCCCCTTTGGGAATGGCCCCAAAGACACTTCAGTCAGTTGCACCGCCCCGGG